CAATAAAAGAAGAAGAAGATAGGTAGCTAGGAAGGGAAAAGATCAAGAATTAAAATGGTAGAGTTTAGGGAGAAGGGAAGATGAAAAAAGTTAAAAAGGAAAAAGATAATGGAAGATTTAGAAAGGTAGAAGAAAAGAGAGAAGGGGAAGCATGGTAGAAGAGAAAAAGGGGTTCGCACATCTATAGAAAAGGGAAGGAGGATGGAAATTTTGGAGAAGAAGAGATGAAAGAATGTTTGAAGATTTTGTTTCTGGGTTCATATATATAAATAAAGTATAATCGACAGCATTTCTGTCGATTATACTCTGTTGGTGATATTTTGAATTTATTGCACCACGAAATTCATTTTTTTTGCAAGGTAAGGTGGGATACAAGTATAATCGACAGCTACTATTGGCTGTCGATTATAGCTGTCGATTATAGACACATAATTGACAGAAATGACTATCAATTATACTTACATAATCGACAATTAATAGTGACAGTTGGTTATGCTATAATTTCTTATATATATTTAATAATAAAAATTGAACATTATCAAATGTGAAATTATTTTTAACTAATATTATACACATATATATTTTGATTAAATTATCAATTCTAATACTAAATATTTATAATTAACTTAATGATTATATATACATAAAATATTAATTAAAAATAATCTTACATTTGATAATGTTAAATTTTAACATATACATTTATAAAATTTTAACATAATCAACAGCTAATAGTGGTTGTCGATTATACAAGCATAATTAACAGAATTGATTATCAATTATACAAACATAATTGACAAAATTGATTGTCGATTATATATGCATAATCAATAAAATTGGTTGTTGATTATATATGCATAATCGACAACCACTATTAATTATCCATTATACCTCATATGATCAACTCATTAATATAATCGACAGAATTTTTGTCGATTATATTCTTTTCGTTTATATGCTATTTTTTAGTAGTATGGGAATTTCTTTAGATTTTCATTTGCGGCGGCAAGATTCATGGTGCTATTTTTTGCTTTCTTCTTTTTTTTTTTTTTCTTTTCTTTTTTGTTTCTGAGTTTTTCCATGTTATCCAATTAGATTTTAGTAGTTTGAAATAAGAGTGTTTGCCGTGAGGAGGACACTGCATCTTGTCTTAATAAATTGAGGACTTTTTAATTTTCAATTTGGTCTATTATGTGTATTTTGCGAAGCTCATTGAATGTTGGTCATCCATTTGTTTCTTTTCAATGGAGTAAGGTTTGGGCACACAAAAACTAACAGTGATTAGGGATATAAGATACAATTGTAGAAAGTTATAAGGAGCAAGTGGATGCTCAGCCTAGGAATATGATGATCACACGTAATCTTTCTTTTCATCTCGTTTCCCTTTTCTTGTTTTTTATTTGAGATGTTCACGTTAGTGTTAGAAATATCCTTACGAGTATTGATTGTCTTCGGAATTTTCCTGTTGGCATTTTCATTTTTGTTGCTTGGATCAGGAATCATGGTTGGGATTTGAATTCATAATTGTTAGATGTCATATAATTCATCAAAAAAGAAAAAAAAGAAAAGAAAAAAGGATGACATTTAACGTGGCTGTACTTCACATATAGGAACAAGGTATGCATTCCAATATAAACCTTAGCTACTAGTGGGGAATGTGGAATTTATGTATGTTATTGGAGTGTCAATCTTACAGTTTCAAATCAACTTACTAGCTTATGGGCAAGAAGAGACATTTTAGTGGATAGAGCTTGTGATTTCTGTGGGCAAAAGGAGGAAATTAAACTTGGCAGCATTGGTTCTTTGCTTGTCCTTTTACATATCTGGTATGTTGTGCTGTGCTGAGGAAAAATGGTATTTGTTCTGTCTATAGACAATTGGAATGAAGATAGGTGAAAAGGAGTGCAAGAGAACGAAATCAAGCAGCCATGAAGCTCAAGGCTTTATTTGTAGCTGCTGTATACTGCATTTGGAATGAAAGAAAATGAGAATTTTTAGGAGAGAGCAACATGTTGTTGAGACTATTGTATGGTGGATACACTATGAACTAAGAATTAATTGATGTATTGAACCTAGTTTAATTTTGTATTTGAATGCTCTTATTGCTCAATGGAAATGCTTGCCATTTTCTAAAGAAGAAGAAGAAGAAGAAATATGTTTATAAACAATTAGTGAGAAATATGTGGGATGCATTAAAATGATGCATACGTTTTATAATTTGGAAAAATCCATTTGTAATCATCAACCTTAAAATGAAGGAATTGAAATTCTATAGATATGAGAAATAAAAAATGGAGATGGTGTTTTTTTAAGAAAAATGCTCTTTTCAATCATTTTAGAATTACATTAGATAAAAGATTAAAATAAAATGATGCATACATATGTTTTATAATTTGGAAAAATCCATTTGTAATCATCAACCTTAAAATGAAGGAATTGAAATTCTATAGATACGAGAAATAAAAAATGGAGATAGTGTTTTTTAAGAAAAATGCCATTTTCAATCATTTTAGAATTACATCAGATAAAAGATTAAAAAAAAAAATACCAAATAGTTTTATCCTCCAAAAGTACTTACATGAAAAATTTTGTTGAATACCTTTAACTTCATACAAATAAGATTTTTACAGCAAATTTTCACAAATAGAACTTCTATCAAAATCTATAAATGAACCTAGCAACTTACAAGCTACTCTATGCAAACCTTTTGCTGGAGCTCTACTCGCGAGTTACTTATAAGTTGTAATTGGGCTCAATCTAATAATTGTAAAATCAAAGTCAAGTTTGAGTACATACTTGACTTGTAAGTTACTCTATCTAATTTAACTCAGAGTTGAATTCCACTTTTGAAGATCTCAAATGGGTTGGGATAGAGATAACAACAAGCCTTAAATATGCTTGGCAAAACTTATGAGTGTTTTAACCTTTTGACATTATTTATATTTCATAAATTTAAATTTTTTTAAAAAAAACTTACATTTTTTTAATTTTTTTAATCTTAAAAAGACCTTAAATAATAAATTTTGAAAAGTTCAAACTTTTATTTTTTATAAACTTTCTTTTTACTCACTTCTTACTCACTTTTTTTTTTTTTATTTTAAATTTTTCCTCTAATAAAAATTTAAATTTACAAGTCATAAACAATATTAAAAAGTAAAAACTCTAAAAAAACTCCACCAAACAACCCTTATAAGGTTGAAAGTGCTTCCCAATCCCTATCCCTATGAATCACTCACAATAATTTTTGATAAAGTAGAATTTGCTCGCCGTCCTTGTTAAATTCTTTACCTCTGTCAATTTATATTATAAAATTAATTTAATTATTTTTATTTTATTATTTTAAAAATAAAATATTTTAAATTGTTGAGTTAAAGTAAAAAAAAATGTTTTCCTCAAAAAAAAAAGTAAAAAAAAAATGTTAGATGTGGTTCGATTTAAAATAATTTAAGTTTAATATCAAATTTAAATTAAAATTAAGTAATGGATTTGCAAATGAATATGAATATGAATTAAATATCTAAATTTTATTAAATTTAATTTTTTTTATATTTTTTTTAATATTTCATAGTTAACAGATCCCGCAGTTGGGAAAAATTCTTCCACAAAAATTTTACAAAAAAAGAAACATTAATAATACTCCTTAGGTGAGGAGTAATCTACCTCACCCTGTGACAAAAATCTCTGCGCTTATATCTCTAAAAAGCCCTTAACCTTCACGTTTCTAAAGCTTTTAGCCCTTCAAGTTACAAGTCAAAGATTGTAGCATTTTGGCGTACTATCTTTAAAGGTTTTAGCCCATTAACTTACTATCTTTAAAGGTTTTAACCTTTGGACTAGCTTTTTTGACTTTGACTCTTAACGAACGGTTACTTTAATCTTTTTGGTTTTTCTTAACAAGTCCTTTAACTTCCTTAAATTTTTCACCTAAGCCCTAAAACTTTGAGACTCTTGGCTCTAATACCAAACTCTATACACAGATAATCAAACTAAACACTACACATAGATAAATTTCACACACACACAAATAGACTTATTTTATAATAATACAATGACATGAATTTAATATACTTCATACTACTAATAAAAATAACATTTGCTTAGCATACTTCAATCTTTTTAAATTTGCTTTTAAATTTGGTACAAAATTTTTCAATTTTTGAATAAGTTTTGGCAAAAGATATTCTTCAGGATCCTCTATATTGCTAATTTCTACTAAAATTCTTACTAATTTATTCCTATAATATTCACACTGGTGATCATGGAATTTAACATTATCTACATAATCTAAAATAAACTCTTACATTTTTATTAGTTTCTCCATGCACTGATAGTCCTATGTGTTTCATTAGCTCTTATTATAGCTTCTAATGATTTTATTAATTCGTCTATAAATTCTAATTCAAATATTATTTGCTCTAGATTTTTAGTACAATTCAATTGATCCCATTCTTCAGTGTTTCTCTATTGTCTAAATCTTAGTCCTTTTAAAGAGGCAATTTCTTCATTAAGCTTTCTATAATTACTTAACTCTAAAGCATCAACTGTAATTGTCAATCGTTGTGAAGTAGAATTCATAGACTCATCCCTTAGTTAGTATATATATATATATATATATATACTTTTTCGTTAGTCACTATTCAATTCTAAGATAGATATTAATAGTAGCAGCACTCAATAATATTAACCAAGCATATAATAATTCTTTAAATAGGTCTTACCTTCAACCTAAAGCCCACTTTGCTTTGTTTGTTGCCTCTTTGAAGATTTCTAACTCAAATTACCGTGCCTCACTTTAAGAGCTTCATGCTAACACGCCTTCTTTACAACTTTCAACTTGACAATAAGTAGCTCAATAAGATCCGTACACAAAGTTTTGAGTTGAATAATTTTTAAGATTTCAGGAGACAATAGCTTAGCAAGATTTTGACAAAGGTTTTATAGAACTGAACACTCAATTATATTATAGATAATGTAGGTAGTACACACTTAATATTTTACACACTTCACACTTAACTCTAAGGATTTTCAAATGGAGAATTCATAGACTCATACCTTAGTCAATATTTATATATATACTTGTTCGTTAGTCACTATACAATCTAAGATAGATATTAATAGTAGCAACACTCAATAATATTAACCAAGCATATAATAATTCTTTAAATTGGTCTTACCTTTAACTTAAAGCCACTTTACTTCGTCTGCTACCTCTTTGAAGATTACCAACTCAGATTATCATGCCTCACTTTAAGAACTTAATGCCAACATGCCTTCTTTACAGCTTTCAACTTGCCAATAAGTAGCTCAATAAGATCCGTACACAAAGTTTTGAGTGGAATAATTTTTAAGATTTCAAGAGACAATAGCTTGGAAAGATTTCGGCAAAGGCTTTATAGAACTGATCACTCAATTATATTAGAGAATGTAGATAGTACACACTTAATATTTTACACATTTCACACTTAACTCCAGGGTTTTCAGAACTCTCTTTTCTTTCACAAGACGTGGAATACTCCAATTCTAACTCTAACCTCCCTTACAAGACACAGTCCATGCTACTTTTTATAGGCAATATGAGCGGACTTCAACTTTGGATTTCACACATAGTTTACTAAGAGATAAGGTCCTAATACAATTATTCGGACTTTAAACCTTCTTGAAGGTAGTACAATTATATACTGGTCCTATTTCTAATTAGTGCCCTTTTATTTTTCCATTATGTTTTCAATGTTATACCACTTCTCATTTGTCATATTTTCCCAGTATGAGCTATCATCATAATTGTCATTTTCTGAGATATTTTCTTCATTATTGGGCTCTATTATCATTTCCTCTTCCATGTTCTTGGATGTTGACTCTTCTTTGGCTACTAAAGATTCTCCTCCATCCCATATTGTGGCTAGTTATGCTTCCACATTTGCATCTTGGTTTATTGCTTTTACCAATTCAAGATATCTTTGCATATGGTTTCTGCACTCATCTGTTATTTCAAGGGTTGTATTGTCCACACCATATTTGAATCTTTGGGTTGCTAACTGATTCCTTGTGAACTCTTTTTGTGTTTTCTACTGAAAAATTATTCTTTTAATGGCTACAAATGTTTTCCTTCCTAGATACTCGCTTTCTCTAAGTATTGTGGCCATTTTCATTAATGCTTTGGCCTTTGTTTTAGCAGAAAAATCTTTTTCTCTTTCATCATAAGCCATTGCTTTTCTTCGTGCTAGAAGATCCCATCCATAATTCTTTCCTAGTTTAACTGCATGATAACTGGGTATGAAAGTGATTCCTTCTCCCCATTTTGGTGGTGTGCTGTAGACTTCAAGACAAAATCTCATATTTTGACAAAATTCCAATTCCCATCTGAGTGAATCTTTGATTTTTTGTGGGAAGAACACAAACAAATGCTTAGTCTCTTTGCCAATGAAGATTATTTTTCTGAGTGAACCTTGTTCGAACAACCATGCTACTATCTATGGTGAACACAGAGGTGTTACCAAATACCAATTTTGATTTCCTTCCCGAATTGGCTTGACATCTGCATTACTTACAAATCCCTTATAAAGATAGCTATAAGTTATAAACCAATTTTTCATTGTAGTTGGCTGCATATTTGTTTCTTTGTTTTTGAATATCTTGAGATATGAATTCTTCAATATTTGTTTAAATTGCCTCTCTTTGGTATGTGAACCATACCTTTTTTAATATTAGTTCAGCTAGATAATATTCAGATTTTTTAATAGAAGATTTTTCTTCCATGTGTTTAATAAGGAAATCTAAACCTTCACAAAGTGCCGTAACTTCTCTTATTATTATGACATCTTGGCAATTTTGCAAATCAATAAAGATAATATTATCTAATATTTCATCTAATATTTCTAGCGTTTTTGTCTAATTTTCCTTTGGTGCTTTTCTTCCCTTCTACTAGCCTCTTAATAAGCATTCTTACTTGAGTAGTCATAATATTATGGGATCTCATCTCTATTCCCTGCAACAAAGGAAGTATTAGATCTTTATCTTGCTGGATGAGAGATTCCTTAGCCATTTCTCTTAACTCATGAATTTGTTCTTTCTTAAAACTAGATGAATTGTAGGTTTCCATGACTTCCTATAAAGAACAAGCTATTTCACAAGTTAGTGCATCTAGCAAATAGTTTTTCTCACATTTAATGTATTCGATCTTAAAGCAAAATTTCCTAAACCATAATTGCCATCTTAATAGCCTTCTTTGCTGCATACACTTATCAAGGTTATTTTTTATAAAGATGTAAAGTTCTTATTATCAGTTCTCACTAAAAATTCTTTTAAAGGTAAGAAAATTTCAAACTTCTCTATACCTCTTTTGACTGCTAAAAATTCTTCTTCATTGTTATAATAATTTTTCTCAGCTAGTTTAAAGGTTCCACTCACCTAGGCACAAAGTTCTTCTTTGTCTATATTCTTTCCTTTGGCTTTTAATACTACACTCCAGAAGTTATTTGAAGCATTTGTTTCTAATATTGTCACGCCCCAAAACCCAAATTCCGGAACGTGGCAGACGCTGTGTACTCGTGAACAGGTCCCACAAATGCAAAAGGCTCGAAACTTATCATACCACAATCTGATACCACAAAATCTAAAGATAAAATTTTAAAATTTGCCCTAATATCATAAAATCTCCAAATAAAATCTAGCTTACAAGATCATGATTTATATCTAAAATCTATGTTTAATTTACAAGATGGCTAGCCTTCTAACTCGTCACTCCCCTCGTTTTTCCCCATCCTTGACTTCGCTTCCTGAAATGGTAGACAAGGAAAAACTATGAGATAATTCAGTAAATAAATATGGATAGCCCTTGGGTAAAATTTTAGCATACTTGATAAACAGTTTAACATAACAACACGTTTAATGATAACTCGTTAATGCAGAATCAAATTCATTTCAATAGCAAAGCGTTCAATGACAAACCGTTAATGCAGAATCAGATTCAGTTCAATAGCAAAGCATTTAGTGACAAACCGTTAATGCATAACAAAATTCAGTACTAGTCTCATCTATAAGTTATGGCCAATGTTTAACAAACTCCCACTGACAGGCATCAATAATAACCAGTGTTTAACAACTCCCACTAGCAGGCGTTAGCAATTACCAGTGTTTAACAAACTCCCACTGGCAAGCGATAGTAAGTACCAATGTATTCGCCCATTGGCAGGCGTCAGTAATTACCAGTATTTAACAAACTCCCACTGGCAAGCATCAGTAATTACCAATGTATCATCCCATTGGCAGGATTACATAATGAACCGGTCATATCAGTAAACATGTCAACATGTGCCAGCGTTTGCAAACTCCCACTGGCTGACGTCAGTAATCATGACTATATCAGAGACAAAACCATGCAGGATTTACAAAAAAATCCGTAATTCACAATCAATCTCAAATTTCAGAATTAAATCGAAAAATTTCCATGTGAGCATGGATTTAATAGAAAAACTGAGAATTTACAAAATTCTCAGTTCGTCAAGGCAGTTCAGTAAATTCCAAATAGGCATGCTCTACTCAATGCAAATGAATACAATTTCATTTCAAATCAATCATACTCGGTGCAAATAAAATCAATTTAAAATCAATTTAAACCTTGTCACTATCTCAAAAACAATTTAAAACATGCTTTAAAATCAAAGGGCATTACCATAATTTACTTACCTCAAATCCGTAATACCGAGAACTCAAGCCAAATACTCGGGTGATAGAACACTCAAGAACCTAATCAAAATACCCCAAAATTAATACTGTGCTACCACAAATTCACAGTGAAAACATCATTAGGATCACGCCCTAATCAAGATGCTATTTCTATTAGTCTCCACATGACCAGACATCTCCAATTTCATTCTTATTAGAAACTAAACATTTAATCCCGTTAATTGTTGCCGGCAATAACCCCCAATAATGCAATTTTATTTTATTCTATTTTTCTTCCTTTTGAATTTAAGCACAAAATCAGATTGTGTATTTATATATACACATAAATACACATGCATAATTTTCCTAATCCCACGGACAACATGGAGGAATGGGACTTGGCAAAGCAATAGCTAATTCATGGGATTTTCTCTACACATCACAGCAGCCTAATTAACAAAATTCCTACATAAACCAAGCACAAAAACACGTTTAAAATGCTGCCAAATTCTTCCCTTGTTTCGGCAGAAATTTTTGGACAGCAAGGGGGGTAGCAACTAATGGGTTCCTTCCACAATACACAGAAAATTGCAACACTACAGGGCAGCAATTAATTGATAAAAATCTAGGCTTACGGAAGCTATCATCTTACTGAAATTTTCTGGCAAGCAGAACTAGATCTGGCGAGCATGGCAAAGACGAGATTCGCAGAGAACTAACACGAAATTGACAGAATTAAAAGCAATTAGAGTGAACGCAAGCCAATTTAGAGCTGAAGAGAGGATCTCATGGCTGTTGCTTACCAGAAAAAGGCCAGAAATTCGCACCACAAGCTGCAGCTCGCGGACAGGGGAGGAAGAGCAGACCAGATCTGGAAATTCTACAGAGGGGGAAAGATTTCCAAGCTTTAAATCTTGTTCTTGAACAAGAAAAGAGGAGAAAAATAGCAAGCTTTTGCCAATTCCTCAAGAGGAGACTGTCGGCAGCTT